ACTGTGATGTATGCTGCCACACATAGACCTGATGCTCTGAAGGCCAAGCAGGGTTAGTGAAGCTATTCTTTAAGACACATGTCAAAACACTTTCATTCTAACTGACTTTCATCTGATGAAAGTTTAGCCAGTAACTGTGGTGAAATTGCTTTGAGCTGCTGAGGGTCAAGGCAATGATGTAGGTGACACTGTACTGTCCCAGAGGTGGAGCAGCTGCCACACATAGACCTGATGCTCTGAAGGCCAAGCAGGGTTAGTGAAGCTATTCTTTAAGACACATGTCAAAACACTTTCATTCTAACTGACTTTCATCTGATGAAAGTTTAGCCAGTAACTGTGGTGAAATTGCTTTGAGCTGCTGAGGGTCAAGGCAATGATGTAGGTGACACTGTACTGTCCCAGAGGTGGAGCACAGCTGTCTCTTCTTTCAGCCTCAACAATTGGTTTGTGTTGCTTGGCAATTTGTACTGCAAATCTTCGGAGAAAAGGAGCTCGAAATTGACTCCAAAAACCAATGAAAACTGAGTCTGATTCAGGCTGTGTGGAGAGGGGAAAGATTAGGGGAATTTTGTCCAATTCCACTCAGGTCCCATTATTATTTGTACACTGTACAGAAGGCTAATGATGATCTATATTATCATACACCCAAATAAGAGTTTCATTATTAATACCAGATAACTAAACTTTGGGGATACACAATAACTCAGAGTTTCGTTATTAATACCAGAGAACTAAACTTTGGGGATACACAATAACTGTTCAGGGGCAGTATTCCCAGTTCTGTTCTGGCAATGCTAACTCTAAGTTAAGATATATTTCTAGAACACTTTTGTATTGGACATTTTCCATAAACCTGATTGCTCCTAATTAGAAATTATTGGTTTAAATCTACTCCACATAGTCTTGCCTTTTAAGCAAGAAAATTAAACAGTGAATCTTCTCATCTGACAGTCTCTGTGAGCCTCCCTCCCTCCCTGCTTTTCCCCAGTCACACACAGTAGTGAAGGCTCCAGGATTACTGTCATCTTTTATAACACTCTCACATTCTGTTCTCTGAAGGGTAATAAAGGAGTTGTACTTGGCCATTCATCAGAAGGTATCAATTGCATAAGGTATCAGCAGATGCTAAATATAAGTGCTCTGCAGGTGAAGACACCAAAGAGAAGTTCAGGGGCTCAAGTCCCACATATTGCAAGGGTTTATTCCAACACACTTGTACTCTCAAACAGTGGAAAAAAGCCTCCGGATATGAGCAGGCTGGAGTTCAAAGCAACTTCCATCCCTGTGTGGTTGTGGTAGAGCTATGCTTGACAGGTATTAGAAATCATAAATCCACTGGGAGGTATTTTAGGCAGAACTGCTTTAGCAGGAAGTAAAACATCCGTGTCCATACATCATGTATGCGTGTGTAAGTAGGTGCACGTGCTTGTACAATTTGCTTTGCTTTACAATCAAGACCATACACTGTTTCTTCAAGTATATTATGCCATTGGATGCATATTACCCATTAAAATTTCATCCCAGCTTTTCAGGCATGTCTTTGTCCAAAACATGCTGACAAATACAGCAAGTAATAGCTATCTCATCAGCAATTGTGTCTGCCTGGTGCTCTTCCCCTCCACCCTGGCTATCTTGATAAAGGGGTTGTACCAGGAGCCTTCCCTTCATTTCACCCCCAATGGCAAAAACTGCATGCAGAACAAGCAGCAGACTGAAGAATTATGTTCACGCCTTGACCTTGAGACTTCCTGAACCAGTTTGGATTGGCTCTCCCTTTGAAACTACAGGCTTCCACAGGAAGTTCATAAATGGGCCCGAGTCACAGCAGTTGACGTAGTTCTAATATTTTTAACTCGGTTCTTCAAGAGCTCCCTGACGCGGGCGGCGTTTCAGGGCCGCAGAGCTGCCCAGCTCTCCCAGGAGCACACATCAGCGCTCTGGGTGCAGGGTGAGCCGCCGGGCGAGGAACGCGGCGCGGGGACGGGTGGTGCCTGTGGTGAACCTCTGCTGCTCTCACCAAAGAGCTAAACCACAGCCTGTGTCCCACACCCCACAGCTCCAGGGGGGTTTGGATCCACAGCCTAAGCTTTGGTGCCATCTCCTTTCCCATGTCCTGCTCACCACCTCACTCCTACCAATTCTCAGCTCCCTCAGAAAGACAACACACTCTACATCACTCATCTTAGAATTGGTTTGCAAGGCTCATTCAGAGGTGTTCAAGAGAAGTTCTTTTACTCCCCGAGTCTGAAATACCCTAAGAGCGGTGTGTGAAATGCCCATGGTTTGTTCCATTCACAGTGGCAGGGGAGAGGACCAGAAAAAATACAGATTGCAAAGAAACACAAATATTAAATCCTTAGGAGGAGAGTGATGGATGGAAATGGACATGAAAACCTTGCTTTTAAGATTTTTATCTTTTTCACACAGCTCTCACAAAACTGCATTAAAGACATTCCTGTTCATGCATTTGCCTTGCACCTTGCTTTGTCATTACCTGTTGAACACGAACTTAATGGAAAACATTCATATCTACATCTCTGCATTCCACTGATTGTAAGCTACAGTCTGACAACAAATCCAAATTCAAAAGGTGTTGAGTGCATTGCTCCTATGGAATGATGAAAAAGACATTTTCCTGTTTGCAAATAACCCGGTGGAATGGGATGAAAGATTGCTATTAATGTTAGCACTGCATATGATTTCAGACAGAGCCATTTAGTTCATTTATAAATCAGCAGCTCCATCGAAGGGCCATAATGATAGCCCTTAAAGCAACTTCTAAAATTAGGTCAGGATTTGGGATTTTCTGGTCTATACTTAACTGATGCACTTTTAAAGATAAATTACATATATATTGTTTCTTCGAAAAATTGAGCAGGGCCCATTCCAGCAAATAGGTTCTCTTTTCCTTCAGTCAGGAAGTCAGAAACCTTTCTCACCAAGCTCTCCCCACTCCCACCTCAGCCACAAAAATTAGATCCACTGGATAAACCAAATACTTTCGAATATTCTTTGGTTTCTGTCTGCAAACCATAGGATCCAGATCCAGTATTCGTTTACAAGGTAAAAAGTTAATTTGGTGTCTCTTTTTATTTTTATTTTTTTTCACTGATAAAGGCTTATCTTGTATTCTTCCAATGTTTCTTGTAAGCATTTCCTGAGAGGAGGGACAAGTCCCCCAACATAGAGGATTTGCCTATGATACCTAGCAGGGGAGGCCTTGCCTGTTTGGCCAAGGCTAGCAGGTCTTACATAACAATTTATTACAGTACCTTTCTGTTTCCTGGTCCGTGGTTTGCTGCTTGTTCTCAAAGCCAGTGAAGCTGCTCATATCCACATATCCGTCGTTCTCGTTAGCAGCAGACAATGCCCTGCTGGCATCTTCGAAAAACTCGGTAAAAGTTCCTGCTCTGGTGGGTCTCCGAGGAGGAATTTGTATGTTTTCATAGTCAGA